CATGTATCCATCCCTACTTCACATGAGCAATAGTTATGTCATTAATAACCTAAGACATTATGGTATAAAAATGTAAAAAAATACATGAGGGCTGTATGTAGGAGCATGTGCATAAGGCAACATTAATATGAAAAATCTCTCTTTTGGATGTCATTCCATCCTATTTAACCCTGTAGCTTGTACAGGACAAAACAGTTTTGATACCCATGGTGCCCCCTCCATCAAAGAGCATGCAGATACATTTTAGGTAGATCTCCGTGGCATAGCTCTGGGAAGCAGGAAAATACCACCTCTGAGCAATCAGTATTCCTTCCTCTGCCTCAGATCTTTTCTTCCCGGTGGGACAATAGGGGTACTGCCCCAAATCATCAGCTCCAGGCCTGTTCTCACCCCTTCCCTTTGGATGTTTAAGGGAATTTGGCAGCTGCACTCATTAACCTTAACATTTATCAGGCCTCAGGAAGGCTACAAATGTGTTAAAGCTTTGTGCAACAGCATCGTGAATTACATTCTATATTGTGACTAGGAAGAAATGTGAAGTAAGCAATATAATTTTACACTGTGCTCTGTGGGGCCCACAAATTACAGGAGGAGGAATAACATAAAGAGTAATTCATGTCCAAGGTTTCAATTATAGGTATGGGGAGAAAACAATAATTGGTGGGAATCTCAAATGCAGATCAGTTGGCATAGTTTTATCTTAAAATTATAAATACTTTCAGATCCAAGTGCAATTAGTAGTGAAAATGTCACAGTTTTACTGTATATGTTTGTTAATATGGCTGGCATAACTAATTTAGGAGATGCCTTCAGTGTAGAGTCCTGTACTACATATAATGTAACCAAAAATGCAGTACTTACACATATATATAAAATGTACACAGAGACAACATTGCCAAACAGCCTTTTGGGACGCTCTAAAAGAATATCATTAATTTTTACTGTACACTTACTCTTCTGGCTCAGTTCCAGCACTGGCTTTCTGTAAAAATCATTTCAAGTATAGAATTATGCTATTTGCTTGCAGCAACATCACAGGAACAGTAGTGAGCCATATGTTGCTACTTAGCAACTTGGTCTGTAAGTCCCAAAGCATGTACTGATTTGAAAATTGAACAGAAATGATAATTATTGTTGAGGGATGCTGTGAGGCAACTTGTCTTGGATTACCAAACTATACAGATGTTTGATGTTATACAGCAAAAGGAACAAAACTATATTTTTTCCTGTCTAATGGCTGAGCTTTTATTTATGTTAGCCTAAGGGGGATAAATTGATTAAAACCTGTAAAATAATATAAGGTGATGTTTTTCTGGATAGGAACACTTTGGAGCAAACAGAAGAACCGAGGTGCTTGTCAGCATGTATCAGGACCCCAGCAATCCTGCCTCTATGGTCACCTAATCCTGAAGACAGCCAAGTGGAAATCCATTGGTCCTTGGTGTTACATACCATGACTCAGTCTGCCAACCCACTTCCCAAATAAGCTATGACAGACTCTGAAATTAAAAAATTATGCTCATGTCTGACTCAGTCAACACGACCAGAGCTTCAATAAAAGTTTCTGATAGGACTATGTATCTCCTTACATGTGGTATTCATATTTTAGTTAACAGACGAGAATGAATCAAGAAAAGCAGAATAATTAACTCACTTCTCATTCTGAAAGATTCAACCCCTATCTCTGATCTTGTGAGGGAACAGCCAAGTTATTAAGGGTGGGAAGGAGCCTGAATTCCTCACACTGAGATCATGCAATGGCAAGACTCATGAACACAGGTGCAAAATAGACATAGGACAAAATTATGATTAGAGTAACTATGCTGTCTTCTGAGAGAGAACATTTCCTTCTCTCTTTTTAAGGCATCATGTCTTTTACATCCAGTAACGGTGACAGGAAAACGAACAAACAGTCCTAAAACTATGATCAGAAAATATAATTGCATCCTTTACTGTTCCTCTCCTTATCCCTGTAAGTAACACAGTCTTTTGTGCTTTGTTTTCAGAGCAGGAAATACTGTGGTTTTTTCCAGTTTTAACCACCAGACTGGATTTTGAAATTGTAATCATTTCACCACTTTTGGCTGACGACCAAATGCTTATGCCCAAGAAAGGAACACCACCCCATTACAGTCAGTGAAGACCTCACAGATACTGCCAATTGTTTAGTTCCTTTGAGGAATGACTAGCAGCTGTCTATGTCAGGAACAGGTTTAGGAAGGCTCCTCTCACAGTCGCAGGTTCTTGATGAAACATGAGAGACAGGTTTCCATCACACCCCATATTCCTGTTCTCAGTGGAGTTGTTTTGTCTCCTTTTTTTTTTATTTTTTCAAATACTGTTATTATTACAGGCTTTCACATATGCTCCAGCCCACACAGAGCTGGAACACCTCTTCTGTGAAGGCAAGAAGGCAGGCTAAAAAATGCTGGGGTTGTTCAGCTTGGAAAAGATAAAGCTCCAGGGAGATCTTAGAGCAGCCTTCCAGTACCTAAAGGGAGCCAACAAGAAAGCTGAAGAGTGACTTTTTACCACAGCCTGCAGCGATAGGTCGAGGAGGAATGGCCTTAAGCTGCAGGATGATAGGTTTAGATTAGACAGAAGAAGGAAGCTCTTTGCTATACAGGTTGTGAGGCACTGGCACAGGCTGCCCATAACTTCCCATAACTGGAAGTTTTCAAGGCCAGGCTGGTGGGGCTCTGAGTAAGGCCAGGGCTAGTGGAAGGCTCCCTGCACATGATGTGGGGGTAGGAACTAGATGATCTTTAAGGTCCATTCCAACCCAGTCCATTCTATGAATCTGTGTATTCACTTAAAACCACTGCAACAGTGTAGGCACCAGGAGAAAAATCCCAGCAAGGGAAAGAAGGTTGTGACAGCCCAAGGCTGACAGCTATTCTCAACCAGGCACAGAAGGCTGGCTGACTGGTGCACACTTGGTAACAAAACACTCTGCCTGGCAATTGACCTGCTTCTTGCCACATGGGTCCCCCAGCAAGAGACAGAGGTTGCCTTTGGGTTTTGGGAGCCAGACACCCCAGAGTTCCATTTTGCCATGGCCAGATTTTAAGTCTGTAAGCCTTTTCTTGATTCCAGCCTTTAGTAAAAATTCAGGGTTTTCTGACATCTTTGAATTTGGAAATGCCACATTTGATAGATTTTTTTTTCCTTGAAGACAAAGTAATTTGCATTTAAAATACCTAGGCCTGGCTCTTTAAAGGTACTTTAAGAACCTTACTTTCACTTCAACCAGAGTGTTAGATGCATAAATATCTCTGAGAATCTGGGCCTTGTTAGCACATGTAGAAACCGCATAAAAGATTAAAACTTATACTCTTAATTTTTCAATACACCATTTAAATTATTTAAACTACATGCATACACAGTACAAAAATATCAACAGAAGAAAAATAATTCTGATGTATAATGTGGATTTGCAATTCTTTATTCAAAACTATTTAAGACAGACATAATGATCCTCTGAAAGGTAGCAGCTGCCTGATAACAGCAATCATTCACAGAGTTTGTATTTCTACTGTTTCAAACAAATTCAATTAGCCCTTGCACTTCAAAACCCTTAAGGCAAGAATGAGATGATACTAGGCTGCTTTAATCTAATAGTAATACTAAAACTTGTCAGTACAGTTTTTGGATTAATGGTTAGAGAAAAATTAATAATATAATTTTTCATTTTTTAATCAAACAGTTCTATTCTAAACTACCTCTGGATCTTGGTGGGTTCTTAGCTGAATAAGTTCAATCATGCACAACTACTAAATGCAAAGTACTATTGGTCTCTAAAGGTATTTCAGAGTGACTTCAACAGAAAGCAGGGAAGCAACATGGTGGAACGCTTTAAAGATGGTCTTTTTGATTGAACCATGTACTCATCTCACACAATCTCCTGCCCCCAAGGCACCTGTGTACCTGAAGAACACTACTTCATGAAGACATTTAGTTTTGAATGCACACTTTCCAAAGCTGTTGATTCCTAAGTTACATCTAGTTATCTGACATAATTATCTGAAGCTATGTTATCTGGACATAATTACTATTCATTCAAACTTATTTCCTACCTAATAATAAGAGTTTTACACATAAGCCTTCTGGCTCTGTCAGGCCAGACACCACTGGCCTGAAATATGCATGACATGGACTACAAGTCTGGTTATTCATGGCAATTTCTGATGCAATCTAACTGATCTGCAGCACCATTCCCACCACTTACTGGAGCAAAGTTAAACTGAAACATGCAAAATAAATGAAAAATTCCCCCCTACATATAGACCTAGCAACAGGTAGACAACCCAAAACTTTCAAAACTATTTTTGCTTTTTAAGGAGTAATTACAAGTGTAATTCTTAGAAATCTATAGGATCTTTGAGGTCAAGTGGAAAGGTGGAAGATTTTTTAATTTACATCCAGTATCAAAATTTAGTGTTCATGGTTCCCCAAAAGGGAAAGGGTTCAAAAATACCTTTAAAGAATGCACATCACATTAAGCCTTTTGGCCTGTAGGCTACAGAAGACTAAGTCACTGCCTTAACTCCACTGCTAATTGTGTAATAGCAACATTCCTCAGACACAGGATTAGTGCTAAAAATGCAATTCTTCAACTGTTCTATGTGTGATAATTAAAGATATTTGTGACATGTATAGCTTATAATGATTAACTTGTCTGCAGTCAGATAAACAAATAACCTGCACCTGTAAAGACTTTATTTCCTGAAGGTAAAACAACTGTTTAGGAAAGATCATGCTGGGAAAACAGCTGCTTGCATTCTGGAGAGGAAACAAGGTAGTATCTTTCAACAAACGCCAACTCTGGTGTTTTATCAGCTCTATCTCATTAACTGGAAACAAGGCTTAAATGCTTTGTTTATAAATTATGATTATTCCTGATTGCAGCAGTTACTGATAGTGCCACTCATTTGCAATGCAACTCTTTGAATTTTTTTAATTACAATTTGAAACAAGGCAGAGAAGATTAATTAACCCACCTGGCTGGCTGGCACGTAGTCCTGGCTTGGTTCTGTCATACTCATATACATGTTCTCACCGTCAAACTGCAAAGGAAATAATAGTAAACATTCAGCAAACTCGATTTTTTAGCATTGACTGAAAAAAACCCAGTTGCTATAAAATAATATTACAGCCTGGTTTTAGAGACTTGTAATTGCATGTGTGCATCTTGTCTTTGATGTTCCTGTTGTCATCCTTATTGACCCTGGATGTCAGTGATTTGGAGTAATTAGCGCTCTAGTAATTACAGCTAGCAAGGAAGAAATGAATGGTTTCCTTTCATCTGCAATCTGTTTTAAAACAAAATGCCTCATTTTGTGCACCATGTATACATATTGCTGTTGGTTGCAATGAAGTACTAAGTGAATTGCACACTTACTGAGAAAAGAAAGATGAGAATAGAATCTGCACTAAAATGCATCTTAATGGATTCCAACTTTAGCTTCTGAGTAGAACTAGAATTGAAATTTCAAAACAAATTAAACCCCCTCCAATTGAAATGTTCCCATGTCAGAAAATAGGAAATACATTTCCAGACAGCTTTCAGACATCTGAATGTATGAAAGAATATACCTCCCGACCGTATGGTGTAAGAGGATAGTTTGCTTGATGTGTGAATAAAGTAAACATTCATAATCAGAACTGCAAAAATAACCATCTGTAAATGATAAATACCATTCCTGGAAATATATACAATATATAAAAACCTTATTTCCTTTTCTCCTTTCCTTTTTATTTCGGTTTTTTTTTTCCTCCTCTCAACTGCAGTTAAGAAGTAACGGAAATGTCATAGAAAGGAGTTGATTAAAATCTGAAGGTTTAGATGGAGAAAAACTGTCAGATCTGAAGCCTCATCCTGTACCAGCACAAAGAAGTGTAAAACTACTGATTTCTTACATAGTCTGGAAAATGTCCCCACAGAACTCTCATCACACCCACTCAAGTGGCAGTACCAACAGGGCAACGATAGTCCCAGTGTCTGCTCAGGAGCTAGGGAAAATCTTTTCAAACCTTTTAAGCAGAAATTAACAACAGCAGGAATTCCTATCTCCAGTCATGAACCACAAATTTCCAGCTGTTATGAGGTCTGTTTGAAATAACTTGCATCCGACCCCTTGTGTGAATGCTTAGAGTGACATATTTTGGACATCAGCCATTGTTTTGCATGACACAGCAGATTTTTAAGAAGTCCCTACTACTGAGATTGCTCTGCTCCCACAGAAGGTGACTGTGAAATATCCCATGGATACTTCTTGATCAGTGTTGAGCTTCTAGGGATATTCTACCTGCAAGGTGCAGTATATTCTACTAGCCTGAGGTGGCAAAGTTAAACTGTATCTTTGGCAGATAGCTCTACCAATTTTTGCTGAGGTGGCTGAAAAGGTTTCTGCTTCCAGCTGTTCATCCTCTTTCTCTGCCAGAGGCTACAAGGCTTGTAACAGCAGCAGTAACATGAACAAGTGCCAGCTCCTGGCACAGCAGCTGATGGTCTGCCCTTCCTGGCCAGAGCTATTTAATAGTCACAGACTATCTGTCAGAAGTCCTAGTTTCATGGGAGGGAAAGGATTATGCCGCAGACACAGATCTGCCATAGGGAATAGAGGATTTCTAAATTTTGACAGAATAGAGATAGTTAGATTAGATCACAATATAGAGATTGATGCTTGTTCCTTTTTTGTTTTTGTTGACATAGACCATTTATTTTAGCTTTCTCAAGCATTCAAAGTAGAGTTCTGGAGAAAAAATTTTAGTATCTGGATTGGAAAAAAATTCATTGTTACTTCTACTCAGATGAACAGGCGAAATTCTGAAGAGAGATTTCAGAGCCAGTAGTGGGAAAGCAAGCACTCCAGTGCAAGGCCTACAGGAGCTCAACTTATTCAGCTTGTCAGACGAAAGGCTGAAAGGTGCCTTGATCACTGTGATTGGTACTTACACCCTGGAAAGATGTCTGATAGCAAGATGTCAGCCTTCCTGACAGTGGTATAATGAGATCTAGTGTTGAGAAATGGAAGTTACAGAAATTCAGCCCTGAAATAAGATACAAGTTCCTACTTTAGGAGGTAATTAAGCATTATGTCAACAGCAAACTCATCATTTCTCAGACATTTTAGAATGAGGTTTGATATCTTTTTTGGAACAGATTCAATCCATATCACATTTCCCATGGACAGGATAGTTACACTTGCTGGTTATGGGAGTCCTATCTGCCTTGGAAGCCATCATTCCTTGAATCTCCTCCTTTGAATTTCCCTCGTTATCTTCATACATTTGTTGTGATGCATTGCAAGCTTTGCTATAATTCAAATACTGTGTTGCATGTGTTTAGTTGCAGTGAAGAAATTTCTTTTCTTTTCTTCCTACTGGCTAGATGCAGTCAATTATTATTTCAACTTATTTTGCCTTCCGTAAAGCATGAGACTATGATTTAAGAATTTTTATGACATAAAAACTTGTCTTTCATATAATTCCCTCTTTTGAATGTTTGGTCATCTGTCCTTGGTCCCAAGCTTAAAATCACCAAATCTTCATTATTTGAATAATTTCCCTAAGGTTCAGTATTCCATGAATACTGAAATTTTTATAATTCTGTGTATTGTTCTTGGATTATCTACCTACCTAATCAGTGACTTGCTATTAGTGATCCCCCTGATATGACAGGATATTGGATCTCATCCTCTCCTGTTTGTTGTTCGTGGCCCTCTATTCAGCTCTGATATATTTTTTATTTCTACCATGGTCTGTGAGCTTTATGTGAGCATGTTTCAGAGAAACCAAAACAGAAAAAATATGTGTAAATTTAAACATCGTGGCCTGTTGACATTACATGAGAAATGTAAGGGGATTGATGCTTACATGAGAAAAGATATTCTCCAACATTTTGGATTAATTTGTTAGGGTAAATTTTTAGAAAAATTAATCGATGCATAATGCTTATAAAATCGGAGTGACCTGTTAACATCTAAAAATACCGAGCAGCTGTCTGATTTGTTACTTAATTTCTTTAATATTCAAGCATGGAATTTAGTCACTGCAATATTTAGTATCTGCTTGTCAGAAGTATGTGCAAGATGTTGTGTAGTAGGTTATATAGGTCAGCAAGATTTGATGGGATGTGTATTTTTTGTAGTGTTTATCTATGTAGAGTGTGGACTGTAATGCATCAGCTGACAATAACACTCTTGCCATGTTAGTGTTTGTACTACATTTACTGCTGTTTAAATTATTATCTGCCCTCAGTCCAGTGCAGTGGGGTGCATGGCTACTTGGCAGTTCCTAAGACTTTGGATATGAGCCTGAAAAACACCCATAAACTCAATGGATGAGACATATACACATGCATTTTGTACAGCAGGTATTGCCAGGAGATACCTCCTTCACGTTCTCAATGTTTACTAAAATGTTTATAAAAGAGTGAAAATATGATCTTTGTATACCAGAATAAAACAAAATATTTACTGCAACGCTGATTTGTTTATTCGTCATCCCCTTTCCCAACTACCAAAGCAGTGTGAAATAGAGATGACCTGTACATCCTACCACAGCCAAAACAAGGGTACACAAGCTTTCAATAACAAAAAGTTCAGAAAAACTGATGCAGCTCACCTTGCCCAAACATGACGATCCCACATCAAAACAATAAACTGAGGAAAAAATGCCAACAACTGGATCAACTGGAAAGTTCTATTTGTATTTTCCCCCATCTGTTTAGAAGCTTCCAAAATGTGCCCCTAAACCCCAGAAATGAATATTGAATCATTTCACCTTTAATAGACTGCTTTGTAACGTGCAGGCTCTGCAGCATGGCACTTTTCAACAAGTCTCCACCTGGACCCCTTAATTCATGCCATATCCACCTGGAATTCAGCTTTACAAATAAGGTGATGTATGCAACAACAGTTCAAGCAACCTATCTGGATCAGAGTGAGTCTAAAGATGAGCAGATATGGCTCAAATATGTCTTCAACTACCAGAGTGTCCTTCCAGATTATACTCTATGCCTCCAAAATTGTCTTATTGTACTCATCATTCTCAGGTTGGCAATCTCAGCTTGTATTCCCTAAGCTTTCCTGCCACTCACTGTGCTTGATTTCAAGCAAAGAAAATGCACAAGCGTCACTTAACCCATGGATGATTCATCCCAACAGAACAGAAGAAACACAAAGGCAGGCAGTTAAATGAACTGTCTTTTATGAACCTATGTATGATGTATATATATCATATGACATTTCATATAAAGCTTTCCCAATGTGTCTCCAAGATCCCTCAGTATCATTAAGACCAGGTTTCAAAATATTTCCTTTTAATCTATTAAATGTGAATGCTAATACAATATTCTGGTGTGTGATAATAACTACTCTTGACAACATTTCTTTTCACATTAAAGTGTAACTGCATGAGAAGTTTGGGTGAGAGCAAATGAAGAATATGACTGCATTGTAATATGAACAGAAATATAACTGGGAACTAATTCTAATATAAATTCAGGATTGCATAATATTCTTTATTTAAATTATTATAAATAAAACATACAGGCAACACCATGGCATGGCCAGTTAGAAGCCCCCTCAGAATGACCCTTTGTAAGACAAGCTGTAGTGTTCAGCAACCAATATGCACAAAATACCCAATTGCTGTTATTAAATACAATTTACTCATAGAAGTTAAGAATGTAATTGCATAAACATTGGCTGACTGTAACTAATGCAAGTATGACAGAGTTCAACAAACGCCCAAAGTGGTAAAGGTGTTTTAAGAGATCCATGGCTGCCTTCTGCCTTCCATTAATGTGACATCATACCAGAGTCACACAATGTATGGTCAGGAACCGGTTTTCATCTTCCCATTTAAATTGTGGTAAACTTTATCAGCATTTATAGCAGTGATTATGAAGTAGCAAAGCTTGCAAGAATAGTATTTTTTAGTCATTCTTAATGTGCTTTAAATTAAATCACCCCGCATGTCTCAAAGATACTATAAACAGGTTGAACAGACAAAAAAAATTTCTCATGGTAACACTAATGAAGAGAATGTTTATTTTATC